AAGGAGCAGCCGGGCGCGTTTCACTTCCAGCCGGCACACAGGCGGCGGGGCCGGCCCGCCCCGCTCCCCGCGCAGCCCCCGGGCACGCAGCGCTGCGCCCCGAGCCCCGCCGCCAGCGGGCCCGGCCCGGCCGGCAGCGCCGCCCCCCGCCGGCTGCGGGCAGCCCCGGCCGCTCCCCGCCGGCAGCAGCGCCGGGCACGGCCGCGGGGTTGTCCCCTTCGCTCCCGGCGCTGGGCGGAGGGAGCCGGGCACGGCGCTCGTGCTGGGATCGCAGCGCCTGGCAGCGCCCCCGGGACTCGGCTGCGGGATTCCTGTCCCCGCTCGGCGGGAGCTCGGTTACGGAGAAAGCCAGCGTGTCTGGAAAAGCAGTTACTCTATTGACTTGGTCCTGCAAAGTGTTTTCCACAGACATCTTCGCTCGCGGAAGCGATCCGGCCGAAGTACCGCGTCCTGCCAAAAGGCAGTTTTGGGGGTCGGATCTGCAGCCGCTCCTGAGCGATTCAGAATGTTTGCAGTAGGAAGACAAAGACTGCATGGCTTTGCTTTTTTCTCAATTTTTATCGAGTATATGAGACTTAAAAAGCATTTCCTCTTCTGTTCCAGTTTATGAATGGTATATTTTTTTACGTATATAGTAAACTAAAAGGCTACTTGGTGTTTTATAAAGAGAATTCTCACAGTCATTAAAAATTTGTTTCCTTCCTCTGGCTGGTCATTATTTTTTTCTTTATGAAAATCACATCTCCCTTGAGATCTTTCTAGTTGAACTAGGAAAGATAAAAGGGAACAAGGAGAGTGTGTAGTAGATTCAAAACAAGAAAAAAACCAAGGCTTCTGAGAATTTCACTCAAGAAACTACTGGTGAAGCTATGTAGGGATTGACCCAGATGGACCTGGTCCAAAACTTCAAGGCCACATCTGTGCTTTCAAACCCATACGTTTCAAACACAGGCAGGAAGGAGTTAGACTTGGGAGCTCATCTGAACTGGAGATTCAAAGCATATGGAGCAATGCTTCTGCATGGGATTGGGATGAGGAGAGGAAGGTCAGGCTCGGAGCACATTTTTAGAAGAAATTCCAAAGCACGTGGATGTGGTGAAGGGCTGGTATGAAGCAACTGTGCAACACTGCCATTGGAAAGCCATTACATGAGCTATGTGATGCCAAATTGTTCTTGGGATGACTGCAAAGACATTTCTCACATTATTTCAACTATTTATCAGTCTAGCAAAGAAAACACTCGCGTTGTGAAATGCAGCCATTGCAACAGCATCAATTGCCTGTCAAATAACTAATAGCATGCATCTTTTGAATCTCTTTCTTTTTTATGTATTTTAATAATTTATTTGGCCCATTTTTTATGTTGCGTATTTAAAGTGTCATATTTGTTCCTTTGAAGATTTTGGGGCGGAGAAGGAGGGAAAGAAAGAGATTTAGATGAAGCAGACGCCTGGGGGCATCAGCTTCACCTAGACAGTGAAAACTTGTAAAAAACTCTCTGATGGATGTTAAGACATTTGAAACTGTAACCCTCGTTTTATTTCTTCCTCAGCTCGGTCTATACTCTTGAATACCCTTTTGTTTACTTCATCAGCAAACATTTTATTTGGGTTATCATTTATCTTCACTATTTACAAGAAGCAGAGGATACCTCTTTGGATGTGCCACCCAAATAATATGGCCTTATTAATTTCTTTTGTGAAATAGTGCCTCCATCATCCAGCTCATGGAAATGCAACTGGGCCTCAGAAATGTCACGAGTTTCAGCCCAGCATGTTGGGGAAAGAGCCCCACCTTCACGGAGAGTACAGAGGGCCACTTGTGTCACCACTCCATAGACCAAGGGACGTGTGTTTGTACCACAGTCACTGTTGTTCTGTATTGCTTTCATACATGCAACATTGGCTAGATCTTAAAGTACGCCCTTCTCAATTACAACAGTAATGTACCCTGCAAAAACAAGAGCAAACCTGGCCCCAAAATCCCCAACTTCACGAACAGTCTGAGCATCCAGTGTGTTTGTGGTCATGATGCTCGGGTGCAGGAACAATGAGACGCAGACCACTTACTTTTTGTGGAGCAGGAATCACAGATGTGGGAAGTATTCTTCTACATGGGAAAGTTTTAGCTACACTTAAAGAGCCAAATCTTGAGATTCTCGGTATGTTTTTGATCAGACAAATTCTGGTTGATTTCAGGAGGCGTTAGAATGGTGTAACAACTGAAAAGGGACCTCAGGATTTGGCTCAGTAGAATCATAATGATCCTCAAAACTACAGAGACTTTGAGGCACACAAAGCCTTTTGTTTTTCCTTCCATGGAGCCAGAAGTGTGTTAAGTAGTGACGTCTAGTAAAATATCAGAGTAAAGTACACCATTCATAAAACTGTACAGATGATTAAAGGGTCTCTAATTCAACCCAGTGACCCCAATGGAATTTTTAAAGTTTGAAAGCCATGACGTAGAGTATTATTCATTGCCCTTTCATTAGTGCTGACTATGCTCTAATTTTTCAGAGGACGGAAAACCTTTTTGAATCTTGTTATAAAACAATCTGGTTGATAGGAAACAAATGTATCTTACCAAGAAACAAGTGAATAAGACCACTCTGGGAATTAATTTTCAATATTCAGTGGCATAGTGAAATTAATGACAAAACTTGCAATAGCAAGACTTATCATTTGCTAGATTAAGAGGACCTCTGTACTACTGAAAGTTGCTTTGATGTCCCAACAAAGAATGGGGACTCATCTGCACAGCAATATTAAACAAACAAACAAAAAACAAAAAAAACAAAAAAAAAACAAAAAAAGTCTAGTTTGACTCTTTATTTGTGTATTAGCTACAGAAGAGAGGGCAAAAACAAATGCTAATCTAGTGTATGGTGATTAAAGTAAGCTAGCATGTAAAAGGTTCAGATTCAATATGTGCCTGAAGACAACTAAGCATGGTATAAGGCTACCTGAAAACAAGTGTCCTAAAGCAGCTGTTCAGAGGCTAGGATAGAAATACTGTACAACACACTAATCATGTACCTGCCCTTGGACTGGTAAATTTGGTCAGAGAACACATAGGACTCTTATACTAGTCTACTGCAGGAAAACAGTCGTAAATAGCTGACAGGACTCACCTCCTCATTAGGAAGACCTAAATGGTAAGCTTGGAAAATCCCTGTGGCCAGCAAGAAGTCTGAGTCTTGCCCAGCACACAAGCCATGTGCCATAGGCACTGCTGGCAGTGTTCAGCCGGCTCTTTTGGTGCTGAGGTGGGGTAGCAGTGCTGCATCCTTCTGCTGTGACACTGCTTCCTCTAGGGAGGAAGGCAAATACAAACAGCAGCTGTCTGAGTAACAGGGTCAGGAGTAGGATAGTGCTTTCCAGTTCTTCAGCTTCATCTCCCTTTTTTTCCCTCTCTAGCCAGGCTCCCATCCAGCAGAATTCTGACATTGGATTTCCTAAGTCTCAGATGTGTGTTGTCCTCTTCCACTTGGATGTGTCATGCAGGCCCTGCTAGACTACCTGTGCTTCTTAAGATGGAAAAAAAGGGTTTGTAATTCTCCAAAAATTGTGCACACGGAGGCAGTAATGTGCAAACAGTGCTGCTCCTCCTCTGTGTTAAGTAATCACCGTCTATATTTTGCAGAAATGTTTTGAGAAAGGGTTGCTTAGTTGTGAAGGAGAAAATGAACTGATTTTTGTGCTTTCAGCACCATTGTCTGGGATGAGATGAAATATAAGCTTGGAAGATTTGGGGGATCCACTTGATATAGAATTTTGATGTCTATTGTTCTCAAAATCATGAGTGGCACAAATCCCACTCAACCACCATTTCAGCCACCTTCTGGTTAGTTTCTTTTCTTACTCCATAAACGAATAATTGCTCACAGCAATGACACCTCTTCAATGATTGCATCAGATGATTTCCTGCTGCTAATGCACTTAAGGGTCACAGTCCTGGGGCTGCAGGTACAACGGATCCGTTTAATAACATTGAAATTTTGGGAGTGACCATATGAGTGCTTTGATTGCTCATTCCCGAGATGGTATGCCTGTCAAAAGACACTTCCAGCTTTTGGGTCTTTGCCTTTGGTACCCAAGGTCTTGGCAGTTTTTTCAGCACTTTTGCCTCAGGCATTTTTGCCGTCTGGCATGTCAGCACCTACTAGCTTTAGCAACTTTGCAGCCTTGGCTTATTGCTTCAAAGCTTTGGCATGAGTGTGCACTGTGGCATCTTTTCAACTCCAAACCTACTTGCTTCACAGGTTTTCTTTGTGTTTTTTTTTCAGGATGTCAGCAACTGCCCTGACCCTAGGGAGGAAGAAAGACTGATCAGCAAGTTCAAACAGTGTCTGTGCAGGAGAAAGATGTCTATCACAAATGAGCACATTCACTACATCACTTGCTGAGGAGGGAGGGATTCTGTGCAAGGGTGCCAGATATCATTGTACATGCCTAGGTACCATGAGAAGTTTTTCCAGGCCTTCTTTAAGATTATATTTGTACTTCTTCTGAGAGCCTGCGATAATAGGATTGAGAAATCTCTGGCAAATTTCATTGTTAAAAAGCTATGTCCATACTACTGTGGATATAGTTTCCACCATCAAAGTTTTTACTCTTTGACTAGTCTTCAAAGCTGAGAAAAAACACCATGTGGAGAGAGCTGTCGTGTTTAATAAATAAGATGCTTCCTAAGAATACGACCAGGAGACGGCTAGATATCCTTTGTACCACCTCCACTAAATCCTCCTTTCAGGCAGTACCACTTCTTTGAATTGCATTCGGGAAACTGAATCTAAAATCTTCAAATGGAAGAACACACAGTGATGTGGGGTGTAGGCTCATGCCAGCTTCGTCTTTGTTCTCACTACCTATTACTGTGAAAGCCCCCATCAGCTACTGCCTTCGTTGAAGACCTGAGTGTTGGCGGAACTAGAAGTCCTTTCTGTTAGA